TCAGATAATGTACACATATGGCATATCAAATGAGGTCAGAGTTAAGATAAATGTACACACAGTGGACACAGTCCTTCACAAAGCCTTAAAATAGTATTAGGTTACACAGAAGAAGACATTGTCATGACAAGTCTGAATGATCTCGATCAATCATTATTCTCCCGAAGTCGAGATTTTTTTATTCTTTGAATAATTAAAATCTCAATTTTGTTACACTTAAAAATATTCAAAATTATTAGTTTTTCAGAAAAATGTTTGAGAAAATATGTTAAAAGTACGATAAAGTCAGTGTATGGTTACGTGAAAGAGGAACATGAAAAAAAGTTTGAAAGAGTAGTCAAAGGAATTAATTTAAATACTAGTAACTGGTATCTTAATTTTTTTTCCCCAAAATTTAACATGTTTAAGGAGAAAAAAAAACTAATCATACTTCATTTAAGAGATGATAAGACAATTTCTTTTGATCAGATTGAACAAAATTATAAATTTACAAGTACACTGTGTCTATATTTAAAAATTGCATAATTTTAGACATTGATAATATTGTATTGGTATCATAAAATTGACTTAATCCACACCCCCCCCCCCTCCTAAAAAAAAATTTGGTTTGTCGACAGATTATTGTATTACTTACATATGTACATGTATATGTTATTGTATATTAAATGTACTATGTTCTTTTGTTTAAGGAGTCCAGAGCTATAGTGGACAAGTGTTTTGAGATCGGCGTAAACTTTTTTGACACAGCAGAGGTAAGAGGCTCATTAATTAAATTAATTAATTAAATTCAGCAGTTGTAGATTTTTTTAAAGTTTTAAGAAGAGATCTGCAGCAGCTTTATATATTAAAAATAAGAGGAATGAAATGGCTATGCGATATTAGCGATTACATGTTATATATATTATAAATGTTACATGCGATTTATTACATGCATTATAAGCATGTTGAACTTCATTAAAACCATGTTATAATTTACATGTATTAATTCATATGGTATAATTGCACATTGCGGATGCTCGCCTGACATCATTGTATATAACACAATCCTTAATAAACTGTAGCTGCAGAGCTGTAGCTCTTTGCTTCAGATAATTTGGACAGATAAAGCAGAGAGCTACAGGTCCAAGCGTTGTAAAAACCTTGGATTAACGCCACCATTTTTTGATCACTTACATTGGGTACTATTACAGTAATATCTGAGGTGAGCAACAAATAAGCAGACTTGGTTTTCTACGATGCTTGGATCTGTAGCCCTCTCTGCTTTATCTAATTTTCACAAGCAAACAGTTGTTCAGTTCTGCAGCTACATTGTTAACCACACATACTTGTCTGACATCATTGTATAGATAGTCAATAAATATTTAGTGAGGATTTAATTTTGGCATTATTAGCAAGGGTACTGCAGAGATCGCTAAAATTAAATATTATTTGCTTAGAAGTGTCATAGCTTCTTTGGTGAGCAATTAAAAATCACAAAAGTTACTTCCCACTAAAAATTAAGTATTGATCGCTAAATTAAAATCACTAAATGAGCATCATGCTAACATTTAATTCCACTCATATATGGTACATTAAATGATATAAATTAAAGACTTTTTGATAGAATTCTTTAAGGAATCCTATATATGGCCCTATAAAATATAGTTTCATATTGTATCAAAATTTTTGTTCAATGCACATGTAACCCTGCTTATAAAATTTCAAAATATGTGTAAGAATTCCAAAGGACTGCATGTACTGCCCATTTATCTGCTGTTACAATCATACAAAAATATTTGCATTACTCAAGCTGAGGTATCAGCTGATCCAATATAATATATTGTCATCTTCTTAGAGACATCGAGATTCTGTGAGAGTTACACTGGATAAAATATAATTTTGATGTAATTTGTATATAATCAATGTTAATCATGATAATTTTGATGTATTTTCGGGTTACGCTGGATAAAACAATAATTTTGATGTATTAGAGAGGTATAGAGATTTCAAACTTGCACTTCGATGTACGAGTAGATATATGTGCATGAGGGGAATAACCAAACTTTTGTGAGTATTAAATCATCAAGATTACTACACATTCTTGGAACTTGTACATGTGGAATGACATCTACACTGTGTCACATAATTGAAAACTTCAAGTTTTAATAATGAAAATTAGTCAATTTATGCATGAAATTGTACCTGGTAGTTGTTATAAATTACATGTACACATTGTATATAGGATTTTTAGTTTCACGAGCATTATTTTTATCAAGGTTTGCTTACCAATTTATCTATTGAAACTGAGGTCACAGAACTTTCAAATAGTAAAAACAAAGAAAGTGATTACGATGTACACGTACTGTAACACAGCATAAAAATCTCAACAGACAAAATAAAAAAAAAAGTGTATGTGTAGTTGTGTACGTCAAAGTATAAGCACAAGTACACGTATGGGTACACATTAAAGATCTCAACCTCTCTATTTTTAGGTCACCTGAGTAAACTGCTTATATACTGAAAATGAATTTATTGTTTGAAATCTGCTCGTTTGTTTTTATAAAACATTTATTTATTTTTTTGATAGGCAATTTTAAGGGTGCCTTTTAAAAAATTGTGCAATGTTTGGACCTAGGGTCAGGGGTTTATGTCACCGTGTAAGGGGCACTACTAATTATTGCTGAATATTACTGATTACTTGGAGTGCCTTTTTGTTCCCCTACCCTGCGTATGGGTATTCAGTTACCAAGCTAAGCAACTGTAAAGTGTATTGTTATGGTGATCAATTGTGCCTCTTTCAAAATTGTGAATGCCATATAGCATCTGGCTTAAAACATGAATCAAATTCAATACACTGTAACTGGAAAGTTGTTGCATAAAACTCAGGTGACCTATAAGGCCCGTGGGCCTCTTGTTAGGGTTACACTGGATAAACTATAATTTTGATGTATTTTTAGGTTATGCTAGATAAAACTAAAATTTTGATGTATTTTATAGTGTTTCTATAATTTTGATGTATTTTATAGTATTTCTATAATTTTGATGTATTTTATAGTATTTCTATAATTTTGATGTATTTTATAGTATTTTTAGGTCACCTGAGTAAACTCAGGTGACCTATTGCTATCCGTTTTTGTCCGTTGTCGTCCGTCGTCTGTCGTCCGTCGTGCGTTAACATTTAAACATTTTCAGCTTCTTCTCTGAAACCACTGAACCAATTTCAACCAAATTTGGCATATAGCATCTATGGGTGAAGGGGAACAAAAATTGTGAATTTCGTGGTCCCCGCCCCCCTGGGGCCTTGGGGGTCGGGCAAAAACCACTAAAAATAGTGCGATCTTTAAAAATCTTCTTCTTTACTCCCTGACATCAAGCAGTCAAACTGTTGGTTTGATTGTAATCAGCATTGAGTCCTCTACCAAAATTGTGAAATTCATGGCCCCAGGGTCAGGGGTTTTGGTGTTAGGGCGGGGCTCTATTGATTATATAGTGAAAATGCAGTAAGTCTTTAAAAATCTTTTTCTCTGCTCCTGGGTATTAAATAAACAAATTAAGTTCATAGTTATGATGAGCAAGAGAGGCTCTACCAAATTTGTGAATTTTGTGGCCCTAGGGTCAGGGGTTCTGGTGTTAGGGCGGGGCTCTATTGATTATATAGTGAAAATGCATTATTTCTTTGAAAATCTTCTCTGCTACTGGGTATTAAACAAACTAAGTATATAGTTATGATGAGGAAGAATGCCTCTTCATAAATTGTGAATTTTATGGCCCCAGGGTCAGGGGTTCTGGTGTTAGGGCGGGGCTCTATATTGATTATATAATGAAAATGCATTAAATCTTTGAAAATCTTCTTCTCTGCTCCTAGGTTTTAAATAAACTAACTAAGTACATAGTTATGATGAGCAAGAGTGTCTCTTCCAAAATTGTGAATGCCTTAGCGTGTAGCTTAAAATAGTGGTGTTCCAATCATCGATTATAATCGAAAATCAGTCGATTGCTGACATAATCCAAGCAATCGATTGCATTTTTAAAATTCTGATTAATCGGTTTATTATTTTATTTTACAAGCCATATAGTTTTTAACCATAATTTTCTATCCACAGCATTGCTTCTGACTCGTTTGTGTAACGTAATTGTACAATTAACAAACTCTTGCATTTCTACCCGGATAACAAATCATGTTTCTGGGCATGGGCATACTTTTAGTTCTATAAAATGAACAAAGGACAAACTGGATCACCAAAGAGAGTTGTCATTTACCCATTCTTACCATTTACTCTTTTAAATTGATATACTTTTTACATGTCCGATTATAATCGATAATTAGTTAGTTAGAGGAACCCAATCATCGATTATGAAATTCTTACCGATTCCCATCACTAGCTTAAAACATGAAACAAATTCAATCATTTGAAAGTTGTTGCATGATGCTCAGGTGACCTATAAGGCCCGTGGGCCTCTTGTTATATTTGTGATGTGTTTTATAGTATTTCTATAATTTTGATGTATTTCAGGGTTATGCTGGATCAGAAGAGGTTCTAGGGGCGTGTCTTGAGGGACGTCGTCAGGATGCCGTCATCGCGACTAAGTTCGGATTCCGGGAGGGACCCAATACCCCTCCTTACTCCCCCCAGCAGATCGATGAGGCGGTCACAAGAAGTCTAAACAAACTAAAGACTTCTTATGTTGACATTCTACAGGTAAAAACAAAAATTGTCACAAAGAGTTTAAATAAACTAAAGACTTCTACAGGTAACAGCAAAAGTTGTCACCTGGAGTCTAAATAAACTAAAGACATCTTCTGTTGACATTCTACAGGTAAAAACAAAAGTTTTCACGCGGAGTCTAAATAAACTAAAGACTTACATTTGTAAACAGGTAAAAACAAAAGTTGTCACACAGATTGAGTCTAAATAAACTAAAGACTTCTACAGGTAACAACAAAAGTTGTCACACAGAGTCTAAATAAACTACAGTATCTTACAGGTAAAAAAAAAAATTGTTACACAGAGTCTAAATAAACGAAAGACATCTTAATATGTTGACCTTTTACTGGTATACATTATTTATAGAGACCGTTTTCCTATGATGTATTTTGCCACTGAGTTATTCCCCTTAGCCGCCATCTTGAAGGGCAAAGCAGTGAATTTTCCTCTTTGAGAAACAAATTTTAAACATGTATGTGAGAAATATATATGGGGAAAATATTTACCATTTTAAAATTATGAATTAAAAGAGGCTTAAACAAATGTACATGTATATTCATCATGTTCATAAGAAAAATAGTGTTATCTTTACCTCAGTAACCAGTGTATCAAATTGAACTTGGTTGAATAATGAAGGGATCTGGGAATGTTGACCTACAATATGTTGGCCATGAGGAATAACTCTTGCTAAAATCACCTCAATGGAAGAATGTCATAGAATTGTACATGTTTATATTACATGTATTTATATTGTCTCTTTATCTTCTTGTCTTATTCTTCTTAATTACATTTTAATGAGTAGAATTTCAGGGAAGCTAGACCATTAAGAAGTTTTCCTGGCAGTTTGTTTTAAGATTCATCCACCTTCTGCCCTCTCAGATAAATTAAATTTTAACAATGGCATTGTAACTTCATTATTTGGGCCCCATTATTTGTGATTTATTTCATTTTAGATTTTCTATGAAATACTTTCAAAATTACATGAAGAATTTATGTTGTCTATATACAGGTCCACTTTGCCAGTTTATTGTTGTTGTCTATATACAGGTCCACTTTGCCAGTTTATTGTTGTTGTCTATATACAGGTCCACTTTGCCAGTTTATTGTTGTTGTCTATATACAGGTCCACTTTGTCAGTTTATTGTTGTTGTCTATATACAGGTCCACTTTGCCAGAGTATTGTTGTTGTCTATATACAGGTCCACTTTGTCAGTTTATTGTTGTCTATATACAGGTCCACTTTGTCAGTTTATTGTTGTTGTCTATATACAGGTCCACTTTGTCAGTTTATTGTTGTTGTCTATATACAGGTCCACTTTGTCAGTTTATTGTTGTTGTCTATATACAGGTCCACTTTGTCAGTTTATTGTTGTTGTCTATATACAGGTCCACTTTGTCAGTTTATTGTTGTTGTCTATATACAGGTCCACTTTGTCAGTTTATTGTTGTTGTCTATATACAGGTCCACTTTGTCAGTTTATTGTTGTTGTCTATATACAGGTCCACTTTGTCAGTTTATTGTTGTTGTCTATATACAGGTCCACTTTGCCAGAGTATTGTTGTTGTCTATATACAGGTCCACTTTGTCAGTTTATTGTTGTTGTCTATATATACAGGTCCACTTTGCCAGTTTCTTGGAGAACATGGAAGACTCCGTCAAGGAACTTAACAGACAGATCTCTCTTGGTCGTATCAAGTATTACGGAGTCTCCAACTTTGGACCAATCAACATGAAGAACTTTGTGGAAGCCGGAGGAAAACCAATCACAAACCAGGTTAGTGGGTCAACATATAAATAGCAATGCAAAATATGCTGCATAAGGTTTAATTTTCGTTGTTTTTGAGGTATGACGAGACCCATGAATTCATGTCCACCATGAAATATAAAATAAGACATGCATTAGTAATCATTAATTCTTGATATGAAATCAAATCCCCACGAACCAAGAGATTTTCCTCAAACCACGAAAATTTGACCCCACAAAATTATGTAATTTTACAGTATACATGTACTAGATATATACTTAAACTAAAATTAACTACGTAGGTCAGTGTATTGAAGGAATCCCTGTTAAGTCACTGTAGAGTATGTAAAGCTCGTTACACATAAATTATCCCGCGTTTCCAACTATTGTAATTTCCCTGGCACACTCTTTTAACAAGACAGTAATTTCTTATATTTCCATTTCAGTGTGAAAAAAGAATTCCTGAAATTAAATTTTAAAAATGTTGTAGATTTCAATGACACAAGGCCTCCCATTTCAATATCCATAGTCCTTGCCCACTGACGTCAAACACAAAGAGATCCACACTAGATTTACATGAATAAATGCTAAGACTACTAAGTGTAAGACACAAAGACAGACTATATTTTATTTATATCAGTGATTTCTCTGTTGTAGATCGGTTATAACTTACTATGGAGGACAGTGTATATTTATATCAGTGATTTCTCTGTTGTAGATCGGTTATAACTTACTATGGAGGACAGTGTATATTTATATCAGTGATTTCTCTGTTGTAGATCGGTTATAACTTACTCTGGAGGACAGTGTATATTTATATCAGTGATTTCTCTGTTGTAGATCGGTTATAACTTACTGTGGAGGTCAGTGTATATTTATAACAGTGATTTCTCTGTTGTAGATCGGTTATAACTTACTCTGGAGGACAGTGTATATTTATATCAGTGATTTCTCTGTTGTAGATCGGTTATAACTTACTATGGAGGACAGTGTATATTTATATCAGTGATTTCTCTGTTGTAGATCGGTTATAACTTACTCTGGAGGACAGTGTATATTTATATCAGTGATTTCTCTGTTGTAGATCGGTTATAACTTACTATGGAGGACAGTGTATATTTATATCAGTGATTTCTCTGTTGTAGATCGGTTATAACTTACTATGGAGGACAGTGTATATTTATATCAGTGATTTCTCTGTTGTAGATCGGTTATAACTTACTATGGAGGACAGTGTATATTTATATCAGTGATTTCTCTGTTGTAGATCGGTTATAACTTACTATGGAGGTCGGTGTATATTTATATCAGTGATTTCTCTGTTGTAGATCGGTTATAACTTACTCTGGAGGACAGTGTATATTTATATCAGTGATTTCTCTGTTGTAGATCGGTTATAACTTACTCTGGAGGACAGTGTATATTTATATCAGTGATTTCTCTGTTGTAGATCGGTTATAACTTACTATGGAGGACAGTGTATATTTATATCAGTGATTTCTCTGTTGTAGATCGGTTATAACTTACTATGGAGGACAGTGTATATTTATATCAGTGATTTCTCTGTTGTAGATCGGTTATAACTTACTATGGAGGTCGGTGTATATTTATAT